TTGGGTTTGTTTGATGTTCGATGCATTATCTTTATCAGAAACAACTAATTAATGTCAGGTTCATAATAATTTGGGTTTTTCTCTCTCTCACACAGTCAAAACATTTCCCGGGTCGGAAACGTAGCTCTCACATAAAGAATATCAACAGTTTTTAATATCTCTTGAGTCAATTTTGAACAAAATACACATTAAACCGGTTAACATAAAACACGTTTTACACATGGTCCGCACCATTGAAAAAATTGTCTGGACTGTTCTGCCGAGTTTTTCTCCTTTCTCCTAGGAGCTAGCTGTGCCTTCAGATTCAATGGTCCAGCAAACTTACGGCGGCCACGATAACGTTATAGTTGAAACAGGACATCTTACAGTAAATATTACAGTCGATTCTCTCTTAACGGACACCTCTATATTAGAGACGGACACCTAGAGTTGGTCCCTTGTTCTCTTTACTTCCTTCATTTGAATCTTCAAAAGAGATGGACATCTCTCTAAGACTCCTAGTTTCCTGTCCCAAAGGTGGCTGTCTTTCATAGAGAGAGCTTACTCTACCAAGGGTGATTTCATCTGCGGCAAACACGTGGTGGACAGCAAATTATAAAAGTTTCTCAAACTCTGCAACAGCCAAAGCAATAACAAGAAAAATCTGGAAACATTGAAATATCTAAAAACGCATCGATGACGTTTTTTTTGCTCTGGCCAAGAAACGACCTCATTTGTATGTTAATTTTTTGGTCGGTTAGCATAGCTACTTTTCTTGCAATTACTGTGCACGATGTACAACTTTCTCTTGGCTAAATATAAAAAGGGTTATTTTTATTCGCAGGTAACGTAATATGTAACATTTTCCTAAGTTGAACTATCGCGTGTTGCAGCTTTTGCCTTTCAAAACGCCGGCTGTCAGTAGAGGAAAGAAGAAAATGTAAACCGCGAAGAGAATTTCTACATTCGGAGTGATATGAAACCAGATTCCGGTTTGTTGTCGACGTTTTGGAAAAAATAAGAAACTCCAGGTCTTTGACTCTTACTTTGTCGACCGAACAAAGAGACCTGCAAAAGCAAAGATTACAAACTGATTTTATTAATGAACTTAGTTGGCACGGCATTAAATAAACAAATTTGATGTGTCACCGATTCAGACGCGCCTTGAAATTGATTGTTAATTAAGGATCAAGGTGAGGAAGATAAAGCCTCTGATCCAATTAGAAAATCCGCGTGAGTTGTTTTCTGTTTCAATGCACGTTTTATTTTGAGTTTTATTGTAGTTTATTATCCAACAATAATTCATATACATCTTCGTCCAAGACCTGCGTAACTCAGTCTCTTTTGTAATAAAATCTCTCGGAGAAATGATCCGGTCCGTCTTGACATGACTTTAAATAAAACTATTCACCAAAAACAAGTTATGAAATGTTTGAGTTGGGAGTAAAAAGTTTGAGCATTTTAAAGGAAATTTAGGTCACACAACGACTTTGTTCAGCAAGGTTCAGTACTGCTTTTAAATGCCTCTGTATAATTTCTTATTATTTATGCTAATTTAATTTAGCCTTCTCTATAAAGAACCATTGATGGTTTTCAAACCTCCTTTTTATGCAACCCACCGCAAAATGTGTACATTGTACGGTTCTTTGGCCCTCAAAGAATCAGCATCGGTACAGGAACAGTTTTTGTTTGACAAATTATCCACCAAAACAAAAAAAAATACTGGACAACAACCCCAAAAATGAGATTCGAAAAAAAGTTATAACTATTTTGTCAGGTATTGTAGGTGGAGGATTGAGGCTGTAAGGAATTCTAGTAAATTTTTTAACACCAGCTTGTGAAACTTTCATTTAGAGGTAAAGAAGGCTATTTATGTTGGTCAAGAAAATTAGTCTTGGATGAGTTAAAAAAAATTATGTCTTTTTTTCATTGTCCAAAAACTGGGTCAGCCATTAGGAAACAAAACACCTTCCCCAGGCCTCTATGTGGGTTTGCCCACTAATTATGAATGGTAAAGTTAGTAGTCCTAGCTGAGCTTTTAGCCTTAGAATTCTGTTATCCATTTTAATTTTTTTGTGGTATGTGTTGAAAAAAAAAATTGGTTCTTATCTCACATATTTTATTAATTTTTTTTTTAAAATAAAAAACACTTCCAAGATGGATCTGAACAAATTAGTCATGGTTATTTTGGTGAGACTGGGTATTTTTGTTTATACAGAAAGGCTGATGAAGATTCTGGGTGTTTGTCATTTTCTGAAATATAGCCGTCTATTAAGTCTGTTGGCACAAAAAGCCTAGTGTTAATTCCTAAATTTCAAAACAATTAGACGCCTGCTAGGTCAGTATTAATGTCAGTCGGATTCATGTATAGAAATGATATCATTGAAGATGTGATCTGCACCTGGTAACAACACGCTACAAAATATGCTATAGTGTAGCTTCCTGATAATCTTTCAGTGTTCCAGAGCTAAACCTGCCAAAAATTAAAGAAAACCAAAATTTCGAACAAGTGTTCAGTAATATATTTTATTTTGGGTATGTGTTTGAGGCTGTTAAAACGTAACAAGATTTATTTCAGGTATATACTCTACTCGAGGACTCGAACACCACTTTTCAATTTTGGCGTTTTTATGTGTTAGACTGACCCCCACGAGATTCCGTTTTCATGGACTGTTTGCCTCTATTAGACATGCTGCTCTACTTTGTTCTCAGTGGCTGTTATCACAAACTGATTCCAAAAACATCATATGACTTTCTAACTAGTTGTTGGTTTTAGAGCTTAAGAGAATTGCTAGACGCTAATCTAGTCTGTAATCTTTTCGGCGACCAATTGGTGCATTTTATGAAGTCTTTTATCTTCGACTAGCTACCAATTTATTGTGTGCCATCACATGACATCATCATAGTCCTCTCTCTATAGCTTATGCATGTCTTTTGGCAAGTGAAGAAATTTCTAGATTACAAATATTTGAGTGTTTTTTTTTCATCTATAACGTTATCGTGGTCGCTGGAAGGTTGCTAGACCGTTGAATCTGAAGGCATGGGCCAACTGGAGAGTCACAGCACACTCCCCAGCTTACGCCTGGCGCCCAGGGCTGGTTGGAACGTTCTGAAAGTGCAAATTATCTGCATGATAAATAGAAAACTCTATGGTTTTTTTAACACGAAATTCTTCTATATTTTTTTAAACACATAATATAGATTTGCCAAGTGTAGACGTAAATACTACCCCAAGTTTAATTTCTGACGTTAATACAATTTCTCGAAAAACCACTATCAGACTGACGACTGACTGAACAGTGACTTAAGTACCATACGATCACCAAATAAATGTAGCGTTTATAAATCAAGAGTCATTTTTCAACGTGATTTTTTAAACCCAATTCTCACAAAAGCCTCTCTTAGGGATAGTTTTGACCCTAGCATGGTGTGGGCGCCATTTTAAAGTAAATTAAAGTTGCTTATATCTCCGTTAGTCTGTATTTCCAAAGTTGGTTTAAAGTTCCGCAAAAAAAAACTGAAATGTATATGGACTAGAAAACGAGTGGATAAACGAAACGCTGAATCGAATATTCTTGAATTTTCTTCTAAACAACCCACCCCCGTCCGATTTTTCGATCTTTCCGGTGGGGGAGGGGGGTACTCCCTAGGATGGCCTATACGGGGAGGCTCCGCCCGAAAGGGGTACCTTGGATATGAAAGGGTACGGATTTTACATGTTAAAGAGGGTAGGGAAATCTGTTTTTGGGTCTGTGAAAGGGCCCAGAAGGGCTAACAGATGAATTTTCTGGTTTTATAAAGTCGAAAAACGTTGTATTTTTGTGATTGATTCCTATCACTTAAAAGACAGTGCATTTAACAGTTAAAAGGGATGCAAAGTTCTAAACAAGGTATGTGAAAGGACCATTTGTTAATAGAAAGTATACGAAATGGGTACGTTTTTCGTGAAAAATGGTATATAAAAGGGTGAAGGGTTGGACCTCAGGGCGGAGCTTCCCGCGCCACAGTCTCCCTAATGGGGTTCCGTGTAGACTGTTCACAGTCCCCTATTTTCCCGTAAGCCGTAAGATCGTCGAGATTGAGCGCTATGCGTTACGAGTTGCCATCTTGGATGAGTATCAAAAGTACTTTGCGGGTGGGGGAGGGCGGTTTAGGAGGAAGCGAGAAAAATATTTTTCTCGTCCCCCTCCCCCTAGAGCTACATGTATAATCCCCGACCCCCGCCCCCTCGGTACATTTGAAAATCAAGATGGCCGTTATTGACGCCGGTAATACGCGATATGTTACGACGATCTCACGGAAAAATAGGGGACTGAACAGCCTACGTTCCGTTTGATATCGAATGTTTGGTCAATTGTTCAATCAAAAACAGTCAGACCTTGATAAGCAAACAGGCCAATGATGTCATCTTATTTTCCTTCAGGTCACGTAGCACATTCTACAATAAATACAAGGCCACAATGTAAAGTTTTTTAACGTTCACGGCTTAGCTTTTAAATTGTGGAATATGAACCGAACGACGATTTTGTTGGAGAATAACTTGCTAATTATTCTTAGGATAGCTGGGATCGATGAAACAACGCTTACGTAAAATACCGGATAAGCTGAACTCACATGTAGTCACGATGTCTTTATAAGCGGAAGAGGGGTTTATTTGACAAGATTAGCGAATAAACCATCAGAATTACATACTTTTGATTCTTTCAGGGTCGAGTCATTATACGTTACCAAGATGTTCACACAAGATGATCTTCAAATTCAAATCATTTTGCCGAATGCTTTAATAAAATTTTGTTCATACACCATGTAATATATTTTTTATTGTGGTAATGAAACACTCTGATCTACTTTAGCGTGTTTATATTTCACATTCGTCCTAAGTTCGACCCCTTGTGCCATTCATACCCTAAATTAACATTTGAATGAACAGACGTATAATTTTCACACCCTCTGTTTGTATTTTCCGGTAAGAAGATGATTAAAATTAAATTTCGTTTTTGCGGTACACAAAGATACTCCTAATGCGGTTGAATGGCTCGACTAATCTGAAAGAAGCAGACAAATGTTATGCACTTTTTTATCGCGAAATGACGCCTTTTGCCTTTGCTGTTTTGATATTTATTGCACAATGCTGTGGTAGGTTGAGAATTTTATTTCTAAGCTCAAAACTTTGTTCGTACGTAGGCGTGCTGAACTCGACTCAATTCTGCTTCCAGATTTGTACGCTAGGAAAGAGATCTTCTTGTTGTTCCTTTGCTGGTCTCCCATTCTGGTGTACCTATGTGTGAAAACTAGACATTTGAGGGAAATCGATGTTGCTTCATACCGAATTTTCGTGGCAAGATCTTTTGCCGGGACTGTTACCATAAAATCGAGTTTTCATTCTTAAGCGTCTTTATTTAAGTTTACTACCGAATGCGCCGTGTGCCACCTAACAAAAGCGGCCTCGACTTCCCAATCTTTTAGAGACATTTTCTTAGCATTTCCTGTCAGAAATTTGTTTTTCTGAGTTAGACAGCCGTAATTATGGAATTGTTCAATGCATATACTTACCCGAGTGGGAATATAATACGTTTAACGCCGCGTCCGCAGCGAAAAGGAAATGTTAATTAAATGATGGAAACTTATGACTGAAGCTCTGATTCTCTTATTAGAATGCTAAAGTGAAGTGCGCGTGGAAATTGGCTCGTAATCCTGATGTTTTGTTGTCATTTATCTCTTCACATTATAGGCCTTGCTGATAAGGTATTTGTCTTCTTTTCTTTAGCTTGCAGCCGAGCCCTTGGAATGGAGAAAGGTTTGATCAATGACAGTCAGATAACAGCGTCTTCGGAAGAGTCACCTGAACACTCTAGTCCCTCATTTGCCAGATTACACCAGCGAAATGGGTGAGTACGCACCTCTGTATATCATTTTGGAATTTGTTGGTCGTCACAGATCGAATGATGTAGTGGGTGACTGTGTGGCGTACTTCTTTGAGAACAACGTTGTAAAAATAATTAATGTAGTGCCTTATGGGTTATTGTTGAGAGATATACGTATTAGAAATTGTTTCCCCAATGCGTTCAGTTCCATTTGATTATTTTTGTTCCACTGGAGAAGATAAAGATCAGTATAGCGAGTTAGTACTTAGTGCTCATTAATTCTTAATCCGCAGGGGAGTAGCGGTAATCTAACTTATACTATGTTGTTCAATACGTTATGCTAGTCACAAGTGGAGTTTTGGAACTCGTTCTTTGAATATTTACTTAATCCTTGGCCAAACAAATTATAGGGTTGCGGTTTTCGCTGGTTTTACTTTTGGTTTGAAGTAAAGTCGTCCAAGTCAGGTAGCAAACCTCAACGAAAAAAATAAATAAGAGAAACAAAATTAGACCCAGTCAAATCTGTAGACTGATTTGAAAAGTTAATCTGAAAATTCCTTAATTATTCGAAAAGTTTATCATTATATTATCTTCACTTTACTTATCTAACTTTAGCTTGGGAGGCTGGTGTCCGGACAGGAACGACAAGAATCCGTTTCTTCAAATAGACCTCCTGACTCCTCACACGATTACTAAAATAGCCACACAAGGAGCTGATTCAAACTTTATTGAAAGATACAGATTGTCTTTTAGCTATGACAACACTATCTGGTATAATTACACGGTCAAAGGCGAAATTGTGGTAAGTTCCGATTTTTCTTGCTTCACTATTTAATCCAGAACTCATGCGATACTGAACTTAACTTGACTTTCTTAATTCATCAGCCATAGCCCACGACACTTCCTGATCTTATACTTCAGTACGTGTTTTTCAGTGGCAATGTTGTAGCCATTGGAATAAAGAGGAGTGTGACGTCACGTTTCCATAATAGAAAATTTCTGGATCTTAACAATCTTTCTTGACAGAGACGGCCATTTGCATTGTCGAACATTGGCTACCGTTTTGTTCCTGAGTGCAATCCTGCACAGGAAAGTCATACATGTCATTATTTTCGTTTTTTTTTCTGCCATATTGGTAGGACCAAGGTTTGTTGAAATCCAGGAATTTTGGTATCATGGCAACGTGACGTAACGACTTCTCCTCTCTATAGCGCTGGGAAAACAAGTTAACTGTAGTAGTTATCATTTGGCCTATTAAGTGTTCTAGTGGCGGATCAATAGGGGAATGCATTGGATGAATCGTGTAACTGTTATATGTTTGCTTTGTCGGTTGCTGGTGAATATATGTACTTTCACACGAGAAAAAAAAAAATAACAATAATGGTTTATTATTAACAGTGGCTCCACCTAGTGGCTCTTTACCTGTTAAAAAGCTACAATATAAAAAAATGAAAACTATAATATACTACAAAAAAAAGAAATTGAATTGAAATCTACAATCATGTATAAAAAGCAAAAATATCGGACTATTTAACAATTATTCCACGAGGGCGCGTTGGATATGAGATGATAGATAGCCAACGAGGCGCATAGCGCCGAGTTGGCTATAATCATTTCATATCCAACAAGCCCGAGTGGAATAATTGTTTTATTAAAAACGCCCACAAAATCGCGTTGAATCGCCCCGACTAGAACAAACCGGAAAAGACAAGGGACTTCCGCTATTCACATGTCACACGTCTATCAAAACTGTCAACGCGCGAACAGACTCGCCTAGACTGCATGAATGAAAAATCAAAACATTGTAGCGATGAACATTAGTTTTTTTAAAACTCATCGTGATTCTAGAATTTTACACAGCAGAACAGCTTAAAAAACCTGGCAGATAAGGTGAAGGAAAGGAATTTTTAAGTGACAGCCGTCGAAATTACTATGAATTTGGATTTTCGGTGCAGTTGTAAAAGTAAGAACAACGGAGAAAAACTACCGGTATTACCTCGGTCGCTTGTTATGAAGTTGTTTGAAGCCACAAGCTGGTTTTGCTGAACGAGAAAAGAAGTTATACTGCCGCCTCGATTGCTCTAGTGAATGGCTGCATAGCCTGTATTTGTAGCTGGTTACTTGTGATTTATATTCTTGATGTCGGATAAACAAGCTGCAGTTATCTATCGGCGAGTGACTCGATCGGCGAATGGCTTCGCGATCATGAAGAAACAACACTTGTCTTCTTTCGTAGCTGGTCAAGGTACTTTAGTTCCATGTGTTTTCATGTGTTTTTCGACAAACTTTCAAACAAGCTCTTGTGGTTTTTTTGTTTGTTTTTGTCTTTTTTTTCTTTCGTTGAAATTGCATTTCTAGTATTCTAAGAAGTGAATTAAAACGATTTGCTTCGGGCGCCGTTCTATCCTTCGCGAAAAAAAATCTCAGCTAGCTTCCAATTTTAAACTGACGCGTACACCGACCATATATGGAGAACATGGTATATTAGCTCATATACCATAACGGCTAAGCCAATCAAAATGCTAGAATTGCATTATCCAATGATTCAGTTTTTAATAAAAAAGGATATCGAATAAAAAATAAAAATGTTATACAACCTTATATGTAATTTACAAACTAGATAGGATTGGAACCCGGCACCATCGGTCTGTGACTTCATGTCGCTGCTGTTTTAGTTTTGTGGAATTTATTGCAGTAAAAAAAAAGGAATATATAAAACAAAAACGGAAACAAAAAAGACAGAAGGAAAAAAAGAAAAGGTTCATCAGAGGATTCGTACCCGGCATCATCTGCTCTGCGCTACTTCACCTTATCATTACACCACGATGGATAATTGCGTAATGCTTGCGAAAAGTCTTTAATACACGCATCACAAATGTTTTTGTACAACCATTTTCCTCTTATTTTAAAGCTATTGGTCCAAATCGCTTCCATTTTCTCTGCACAATACTTCTCCCGTCGATATGCATCGCCAAAAGCACTTTCTTAACCGCTTTTTAAAGTGCGGCCACAATTTCAACCGGACCAAGACAGTGGGTGTCCTGTGCAAGTTTACGGACTTACCGACTTACGGACTTACTCACAGCGCCATGACATAGTGGCTAAGCTCCCTAAAGGGAGGCAGTAGCCACAACAAGAGACCTCGCGCTGCTTTATCGCGCTCATATTCCATCTCGTTTAGTTCGTCAAATGTTAGCGAATGAAAATGAATTTTAAAGACTGTAGTGCAGTGACGGCAAATAAATGTACAAAAATACGTTATGCACGAGCAAAGTAACCAAAGTTGTTGTTAAACCTTATTGCTTTTTTGAGGCCGCAGCGAGAGTTTCCAAATATGGTACTCAGAAAAATGGATATTCACGAGCATTGAACGCGAGTTACAACTTGCTACTCCTTGTCAGTTTCTGATGGCCAACGGCTACCCATCCTAGTGGCTTAAAGGAAACATATACCCACTGCCCTTTAGTCCCTTCGTTTACCTTTTTTAGGTGCTGGTTCGAAATAGTTTGGAACAACAACAGCAACAACAATAACCACAAGAAAACATGCAAGACAGAATCCTTTACTCAGAGTTTGCTACTTCCCCCATTTTATTAAATGTTATTAATTTTTATTGCAGATTTTTACTGGAAACATAAGAAGAAACGTTAGAAGAGTGAAAAATAATAATCTAACACAGCCGCTGACTGCGCGTGTTTTGCGCATTCATCCCATGAATAGCAATATTTATGTCCCTTGTGCCAGAGTTGAATTGTATGGCTGTACACCTTCTGAAGGTATGTAGTGTCTGCGTAAAAGTAATATTTTAGGCAACGTTTCATGTGCAGTGGATATCATTAGGTTGTCTCCTGAGATAATGAATGTAAACAGTCCTAGCCTCTTTCACTAGTAACGGTAGCATTTTTGTAACAGTAGGAGGACTTTCTTCAAGTGTCTGTGTTTAAAAGCTTTTGCAAACTAATTAGGAGCACGTATAAAGCAAACCATTAATGAAAGAAAAATATAATAATAATGTTAAATAATACTAAAACTTAATATGAAATTACGGAATTACCGAATTTAGAACAGTTAGTAGTATTAGTGATGGTAGACGGCTGTATTTAAAAACGACCAGTGATTAAAGTAATTTTAAAACATGCTTGACAAGTCGTGTACTTAGCTAGCCTTTGAACTAAAAAAGACTTTGTTCTACCTTTACCTTCCTCTCTCGAAGCGCGTAGAGCTTTCGAGGCTTGGCTGAGTTGTCGTTTTTTTTAATATTTTGCTAAAAACAGACTGTAAGACGCCAGTGGGTGTGGAAGATGGTAGGATCACCGACCAGCAGATGACAGCGTCATCTCAACGGGATGGTCATAATGCCTCAAATGCTCGGCTGAACAACGAGCTCCTCAGGCGGAGCAGCTCAGGCAAATATATTTTTGGTGGATGGTGCTCTGACAAGATGGACATACATCAGTACTTACAGGTAACGCCGAGACTATTCTGTAATCCGCTTTATGCCTTAAAGGGGCTGTGTCATGGCTGTCTACTTCATTTTGTTAACAAGTAAGGAGCTTAAGCAACCACGACGGCGAAGGTAGCAAGAACGGCAAAATAACAACTTTTCATGGTTTCTGCATGTGTATCACGCTTTTTTGTACAGTTCTTTGCCGTCACTTCACGACTACCACGTTTTTTGGAGGACGTGAACATAACCATTTTCTTTTTCTATTGTGAACTTAGATAGAGTCCTTTAGAGTTCAACTCCTGAAAAAATTGCCAATATTTGACAAATTCAAGAGCGATGAAGTTTGAAACAGCGCGAATCAGTCTTTTTTTGGGTGACGTTTTAGCTGCTGTTGCCGTCGTCGTTGTTTAAGCTCCGTATTGTTAGTTACGCATCCTTATTAGCTGTTTAACTTGAGAAATTGCTTTTAAATGGCAAAATAACAGCTTCGTGGCGAACAAATATGCATCTCAAGCATAATATCAAGCTAAGGGTGTAACGATTCATATTCCTTGCGATTCAATTCGATTTCGATTATTGTCTTTCGATTTCGATTCGATTATGTAAATGTTTCTTAATTCTTATCACATGATAACGTGTAATGTTAACAACATGCAACCCTAAACCCTCAATTTGAGAATACTAACAGGGACGGGAGGATTCACAGTCGCTTGGTTCGTCGCTATGTTTGAGAACCTGACAAAGAGCGTGTCGCACATAGTTTGCCTTATTTGGAAATTCTCAAGGGGTGGTTGAAGCACTGCATTTTTACCAGGCAACACAAATGGCGCACGAAATGCTATCGTCTTTGCTCGTCAATTAAAAACGCACATTTTAAAGAGTTCTGGATTCTGATTTTACATTATAATAACTCACTGAGGGCACCCTGGAAAAGGTATGCAAAAATCGAAGCAAAATCGAAATGTGGAAGCAAAGAATCGTGAATCGAACCGAACGGTCATAATCGCGACTAATCGAGAATTCGATTAATCGTTACACCACTATATCAAGCGACGTTACGAGACAACAAAAATGAATTTTGAAAACTGTGATGCTTGCAAGGTTTCCAAAACGGCAATTACAATCCGTTTCAATCCACTCTTCAAGTTTTTCCATCCGTGCCTCCTTTTGTATTTACTGTGTTACTTATACTTTTTTTTTTAACGTTTTGAGGGGTTGTTTTTGGTTCAATCATTTTAGTGGCGGTTCCTAACGTTTGAATTTTTCACGCTTCGTCCTACTGGACCATTCACCAAAGCTCTGTGAGTGGTTACTCGGTTTGAATGCCTTCATATACATGTGGTCGTTAACTGTTACTAATAAAGCCTTTTAAGCATTTGACTTAATTGTTGATATCTACTACCAGAAAACTATGATGAAAAAGCGGTAGTTTTCCCTCATGTTAGTGTAAATGCAATGGAAGATACGGCTACGTCAGTAGGATATTGGAATTCAAGTCATGCGAAGACACGTTTATGCTTTTTTTTTTTGTTAAAAAAAAGTAAGGAAACAGCGTGCGTAACATAGTTCCTTAATTTAGGGTGAGAGGGCCGATATGGGAGACCTACAATAGTCAAGGGAGTGGCCCTTAATAGTTGCTGGGAGGGGAAGGAGGGGAGTAGGCAACCAGCAGTATGACTGGAGGGCAGGACCTGATCCCCCCTCTCTTTGTTCTCTTCGCCCAAGTGTTATTTTGCTGACGGGATATTTTTGTCTGTTCGTCTTTGGCTCAGATTGATCTTGGTCGAGTGCGATCCGTTTCTGGTGTGGCTACTCAAGGCTACACCATGCAGAACTTTGTGAAAGCATATAAGCTTAACTACAGCACTGACGGAACAACGTGGCAGTCATACAGAGAAAAGCCAAACAGCGGCATCAAGGTACAACGATACTTGGTTGCTTTTTATTCGTATATGTTTGGGGACTGCTTTGGTGCTCTGGGACATTAAGGAGAGTCGACCTAGTGAAGAGAGCATAAGCTCCACTGGCAACGGCACAAGAGCCGAGAGCTACAATCACCGAGCAAAACTATTGACACAAATTCGTTACCTTTTGGATTGCAGAATGCTCTTGACCTCTTCATCCTCACCCTAAAAAAAGCTGCGTTGTTGAATAACATTGTTTAGGGGGTAGGGGAGGGGTATTTACTAACGTGATACTCTGTCTGATTCGTAACATGGACACTTTATTTTCCTTCAGATATTTCAAGGAAACTGGGATAACGACACGTTGATAAAGAAAATGTTCCCTCGCAGAATTTTCGCGCGTTATATTCGTTTTAATCCAATCTCTTGGAACCCAGCCGGCGACATATGCATGCGGGTCGAGATTTATGAGTGTCTCCCCACTCAAGGTAACTGACTGGACTTAGATATTTTGTCTACTTAGTAATACAGTCATAAGTGCCTTTTTAACAGCTTGACAAGGGATGTGACCAGAGTAGTTTCTAAGTATGCGTCAGGAAAGTTTCGTTGTTTGAAAATTATTAGTACTAAAAGGAAACTCACGGCTATTAATACAAACGGTAGGAAAATCCTTTCTTCACACCCACCAAACACAGTATTATTGCATTTTGCTGTTGGTGTGTTGTTTGTTTCTTTTAATAAAATTCATGATCTTGAGATTTGAACAACGTTCCTTTTTCGATTGCTTCAGGTAGCGACAAGTATAAATTACACTTGAATTTATTTCCTCGTAGGAAGCATACCTCTTGTGAGTCCACCAAGCGAAACAGTGAAGCTAAACCGAACGAGCTCCGTGAACTTGACATGTATTGTGTCTGGCCAGCCCGGATTCCGCATGAATTGGTACAAGAACAGAAATGTGATTCCCCCGCTGCCTCTGTCACAGATTCACCGAACACCATACGTGAATGGTAGCCGCAAAAGTGTGTTAACTCTAAACCGTGTCAAGTACAAGGATAGGCGATCCATTATATCCTGCACGGCCTGGTATCCAACACTATCCATCAACTCTACGCGCAATATTCACCTTCTTGTTCATGGTAATACTTGTTAATCGTCCTACTCACGGTGTAGTTTTCACGGGTGTAGACAGCTAAACTTCACATCTTTGTGATTGCGAATGTTATATTATACATCTTCTACTATAATCGTTCAATTCTTTGTTATCTATATTAATTGAATCTACATCGTGAGTAAATATCACGATACCAGTATAAGCATTCTATTTCATCGTCCCTCACTACGTTTGTGTGAAAAAAAAATTTCCCTAAAATTGAAAGAAACACAGACAGTAAAGGCTGTGGCAGCAAATACGCTGAGTTGGGTAGCTTGTTTTAGGTCAGTTAAACGTCGCAAAAGCTTGTCGTAATTTTAGTTCTCACATAGTTAAAAAATTGTCAGAGCCGGTGCATTGAAATTATTTTTTTGCAGTTTTTCGACATTTTTAATTGCGTTTACGGGTCGGGGAGGTTGAGTTAACTAATTTCAGTGTACCATCAAATGGGTCAAATAGTTAAAAGAAACTAAAATTGTGTCGTCAATAAGAATTTTTCGTTCTACAAAGGTTGCCAATAACAATTTTTGATGGTCCATTAGAAATGACGTGAAAACAGTGTAGACCATCGAAAATTGTTGTCGATTTCAATCGAAAGTTTTTGACGTCGGGACTTTACGATCCGATGACGCGACGGCAGCGAAAACGTCGCTTCAAAAATGAACTTGCATTCTTTCGGTCTTCATCGCGATTATTCCAACTCACCTACTTTGTCAAATGTAGGCGAACCCCCCCCGGAGTTGAATTTCTAAGAGCTATATTCAAGTTGAGAAAGAGAATAAAAATTTCGTCGTCGCTTGTTTACGTCCTCCTTAAAAAGTAAAATTAGGCAATTTCACGTCGTACTCGTGCAAAAAGAAAAAGAAATGTACAAAAAAGTGAGATGCACGTGCAAAGTTGTTGTTTTGCCTACTAAACCCATTGTTGTTTTTGACGTTCTCGTTGCGGTCGCGTCGTGGGATCGTAAAGTCCCTTGTAACTTTCATGATCTGTACCCTTATCCATAGCTCTCAACCAATCAGTGCGCGAGGAATAGCTCAGTTATTGTAAACAGTAAAAAGACACTTATTAACGATTTTGTTTCCAGCTCCACGACCCGTTATGGTTATCTCTGAAGTTCAGGCCAGACAAATAACGCTTCATATAACAGACCCGACACCTGCCGACACTTTAAAGTACTTGGTGCGCTACAAAAAAGACACGGGACATGCGCAGTGGGTGACTAAAGAGAAAAGTAAGGTTGGCCAAGGTAGCGACGTTTACGTTACATTGAATGGCGTGCATCCATTTACAGCCTACGTGGTGGAAGTTGCTTCTTATTATAAGGATCAAGATGAAGGACCTTACAGTATTCCGAAACGGTTTACCACTAAGCAAGCAGGTATGAATGGTGTACGGAACTGTTCTTTTTCCCATGTTTTATTCAATGTGCGACCTCAATTGGGATTATCGCACTTGGCGTATACATTCTGGCTCCTCTGAAGTCGGAGCCTTAGGGCGCTAACCAAAACTTTAAAAATAAAAACAGGTTCCTCTGAGAGCTTCCACGGAAAACCCATCGCTGCCGTGCATAATAGGGGGTTCAACATACCACGACGGTGACGGCCACGAAAACGTGGCTTAAAAGTGAACTCGAGTTCTTTCAAGTCTATCGCGATCGTTCCATCTTCTGGAGCCGAATTACTAACAACTATAACCAAGTTCAGAGAGAAAAAGAAAATTTTTTCGTTGCTAGTAAGTCCTCCATATAACGTGTAATGCGGACTTTTCACATCGTGACGTAGTCGTGCAGTGAGCTGAGAAATGTACAAAAAAGCGTAATGCACGTGCAGAGTTGTTGTTTTGCCTTTTCAACCAAATGCTTTTTTTGACGTTCTCGCCAGTGTCGTCGCTGTCGTTTTTACATGTAGGAACAGACCGACCTGGCGGAACAGTACTCATAATATGTAGCTAAAAATCCCCCAATTTAGTATGCCTCCTACACAGACGCCCTCGAAGGAACGCTTGACAGGAAGCCCTGAGAACGTCTGCGTGGTAGGCTAAATTTAGTACCAGTAACTTGGATTTCTAAACAGACATAAACAGTGCATCGTTTCTTTTGTTTAATCCATTTTTCTGCTTACCCGTTCCCATCTTTTTCTATTGGTTGAATTAGAAGATGGGCAAACCACTCAACGTTTTGTTTTCTTCTTGAGTGTTTTTTTTACTTAGATCGAACCTTATTTTTTTCTCGTTTGTAGCTCCGAGTGGTCCTCCCCGCGATGTATTGGTGATACCGCGTGCTAAGGACACCATTCGCGTGTCATGGTCCATTCCTAGCGCTCAAGACTGTAACGGTATAATCACTAAATACGAAATCATCTTATACAAGCAAAATGGCCTCACGCAAACGTATCCGAGGAAAGGGAAGACTCTGTATCAAGACATAAGTGGACTGGAACTTAATCAGCGGTATATCATAGGAGTGCGTGCTTGCACGAAGGTGGGGCCTGGGCCCTATAGTAGAAATCACAGTTACTCCACAGGTAACACCAATGAACGTAGCGCAAATGTATTTCCTTTTATATGGACATTTGCGTGCGGTTTTTAAACTTTTTTTTTCTCTTTTTGTTGAATTAGAGATCAGCCAAAGATCACAAATAACACAAGCACTGGAAAAACTTAACAAGGTAAAATTCACTCCAAGCTCAAATAGTCTCTTGTGGCTGCCATTTGAGTCGTTTAAGAGAATTTTTGCCTCTTGCGAGTGTTTGGAGTTTTGGTCCTCCCTGAAAAAAAAAATACATGCATTTTCAGTGTATTATTGTTTGATAGTATTTGCTGATCTTTTGTAGATAACAGTGACAGATAATCTTATCGTATTGCTAGTTTGAGGCTGCATGTTTTCGACCTGTTTCAGGTGCCAGTTACGAACACTAACGCACTCAAAGTTATGAAGGAAGTCCGAAATATTACTTCCAAGCCGTCTGAATTGGTACGCAGTGATTTGTCATATACAGCAAACATTCTGGCTAAGGTAGTCAAAACAAACGTCACTTCCGCTGATGTGGGAGATCACGTGCTGGACACCATAAGTCATGTGATGGATGCCAAGCCGGAAGTATTACAAGATATACAGCAGAAAAACAATAAATCTGCCCAGTAAGTCACTTCACTGAATATTGGTAGCATGGATCCTATAGAGCGTTTTCACATGACGTCATGGTGACCATTTTGGTGTTCCACAACAATGAAACAGAGACCGTGTTGGTGGTCCAGACCAATCCTGTGGGAGTTGAACTCTTTTCTTCCGTAAACGTTTTCTTTTTTCCTACAAATTTGCAAAGATGCTGGCCACGTGAGTGAAAACGCTCTATAAAATGTTTGGAAATAGAATCACCCAATTTAACTTTCTGCAGTTGATAGCCGGTTGGATTTGTCAGACTACGACTTTTAAAGACAACACCCTCTTGTATCCTACTTGAGTTTTATTTTTTCTTAAGGAAGTTTGCATTGTTTTTGAAGGAATATACTCAATAAATAAGGACCAAGTATAAAGATAAATAATAACAACAAACAAGTTAAATGAAGCTAAAGAGTCTCAATATTGTACTGATGTAGGCAAAAAATTCAGAGATTAAAGAAATATGTTTTTCACTGCGGTTATTTTGATGGTTATATGCCAGTCATTCAAATCCCCCTGAAAACCATTTCCCATCATGCCCTGGCGGCCATGATTAGGACAATGTGGAGGGACTTTTACTTAGCGTTTTACCCACCCCGATCGGAGTATTCATCCCTTTGGTTTCACTTTTTTTCTATAAATTAAAATGGAACGGTGAAAAAAGGTAAAATTATCAGGAATAGAGATGACATTGCTGGCGTCAAATGTTTGGCTTCCTGTGATTGTCTGATCAGGAAAACCGTAAAACGCCTGAAATACTTCAGAAATATGATTGCATTGCTTCAAGAAACAAACGGATGTGAGATAAATCTACCGCGACCGGTTGTGGTCTTTCCCTTATTCTTGACCTCCAGCATGTGTCATAAGAAGACAAAATCCCTGAAATATTTTTAGTCCTCTACGATTTTCGTGTGGGGTCATTTCACTATCGCTGTCTGCATCGGTGCAATTTACAGTACTTTGTCACCACCGTGTACTAATTTTCTTGTAAGTTATTCAATTTTGTTGATAGAATCTCCGATATGAATCGGTGGTTTCTGGTTTCATTAATCTATTGTTAGTATTTCTTCCTGCTTTCTCTAATTATCTGTTTTCCGTTTTAAGCTTTGTCCAGATTCTTGAGGATTACATCGACAAGGGAGGAAAGTTTAACAAGGACACACGTAACATCGCCGTCATATCACAACTTATCAACAAAGGAAGGAAAAGTATTGATGTCTCTGTTACAACTACCGTGGGTAAAATTGCCATTAACGTGAGCGTAAATTCTACAGGAAGGGATAGCGAAGCCAGTATAACTGTTCCTAACTCGATACTAAAGGCGAACGACACCGGAAATTCTACGTTAATTGTGGTATACTATCGAACCAGCAAACTCTTCGCGCCTGAGTTTCGAAGAACGGAGGTTTGCGAGGATAGTTACACATCAGAGAAAGAAACAAGACTGGAGTCTAAGGAAACTTCAAGTTACACGATGGAGAACTCTACAGGAAGCAGAGTAACTGAGAGTAGCCCTGTGCTATCTGCAAGTTTGAGAAACAAACGAGTGACAAACCTCACCACACCCGTAATCATCAAGTTTAAAATGCCTCGTGACCAGGTATGGCCTACCGAGCGGTTTATGTATAATTAATTTTCGTTAGTTTCCTTTATGGAGAAAAGAAAAAACGGACAATGACGATTTTTCTCGTCTTTCGGAGTTAACGTCTGTCTCGATTTTTCTCTCTCCGGCTGCGGGTATAATTTTTGTCAGTTTTGCAGTATACGAAAATTCAGTACAAGACAATCTGCTAAAGAACTTTAATAGCCTTTATTATTTGGCTAAATCCACGAGCGGGTAAGATGAAGCAGATCCTGTGTTCTGATTGGCTACACGAGCGGGCAAGATGGGCCCATGTTGCCCGCTGGGGATTTCGGCTTTGGTCCGTAAGAAAAAGTTCCGTCTCTTTTTGGCCTTGCGATAAATCCTCCATTGAGAAAACTTGTTCGGTCCAGATAGCTTGATATTGGCCTCGCTCTTTGAAAAAAAAAACAAAAAACACACTTGGTCAATATCCAGCCATCTTGACCTCACGGTTGTCAATTAACAATTACTCCTCGAGCCCGAATGGGCTCTTGAGTCAATCGGCCGAATGGGCTATTGACTCAGAGGCCATGAGGGCGAGAGGAATAATTGTTTTAGTAAAATCCAACTAGTCGATCAAAAATATCGAGAATAAAAAAATTTTAGCTAGTTAAAATCCTTTTTTGCCGCCAAAAAGCCCGCGGTTTTCACTGCTAGGCTATAACATATAGCCTAGTAGTAGTTCAACCAATCAGAACGCAGCATTGATAATAGACCACTAGTTGGATTTTACTAATAACGCATATGCTATATATTGCTGAGAGCGGGAAAAAGAGGACTTTGAGAGGAAGGTGGTGAGATGTTTGTCCGTTTAGGCGTATTTACAACGCGTATTTACAACAAAGCTAGAATTTGGAATGCGTGCCAGAGGAAGATCGAACCTGGTTTTATATAAAGTCGGCTCGCCGTCAAATTACATGTAGTTTAGCATACCGTAAAATTCCGAAAGTAAGCCCCTCCAAATATAAGTCCCCCAAACCGGTAACGCCAAAAACCCTCCGTTAAATCGCCCTTCCAAATATAAGTCCCCGGGGGCTTGTACTTGGAAAATTGCCCTCAAATACAAAGTAAAACAAAGCAAAACGGTAAACTTACTTCCTACTATAAGGCTAGCCCTATCGATTTTGAAACACAAATTTCCCTCCGTAGATAAGCCCTTCCGAATATAAGCCCCTCCAAAAGCAAGCCCCTCAAAAAGGGCCGTTGAAAAATGTAAGCCCCGGAATTTATTTTCGGAATTTTACGGTATGTTGCCAATCATGTCGATATTAGAAACCATACCTCCAGCTCGGACTTTAGTAACCCAGTAACTTTGATTCTCTTTACAGATTATCAAGCAGAGCACAAGGTGTGTTTGGTGGGATTTCAAGAAACGTAAGTTTCAACTGACGTAAAGTGTGTGCTTTCGCTTATGTTACTGGTTATGTTAGAGCCTACTTCCCATGTTCAATAGAGTTGATAAGCATTTGTCTCTTTTTATTCCCACTTCAGGTGGTTGGTCGACTGAAGGGTGTTCTTTGCAAGGAATAGTTAATGATACTATAATTTGTGAATGCAATCATATGACCAACTTTGCAGCACTGGTGGTGAGTAATTAATTATGTTGTTTGGATGAACCCTACGTCTTAAACGACTTTCGCGAAGGCTTGCCTGCCAATTGATAGGAGACTAAAACATGCAGACCGCATTGTACCTTTGAAGTGGTTTGGAAATGGCTGACGGTTCTTGGCCGTTATGAAATAAAACATTTCGGAGCGGAAAATATTATTTGGTTATATTCAGAGTAAAAGTAAGCCCCAAAATATGGTTGTCTCCGTATCTATACCACGACTAATAGGCTTCTGTGAAGAAACAAAGAACCAGTTAATAACGAACTGACCATGAGAAAAGTTATTTTAAGGGGAGGGGTGTTGGGGTGCGCGAAGTTAAAAAAAAGTGTACATGTAAAGGAAAGTTTACTGAATAACTAATAGAGTACTAAAGTGATGACGTCATTAAAATGAAATTTCTGAAATTATGGGATTTGTCAGGATATTCTGAAAGAACAATGTCCAAGAGGCCTACTTACCAAAAATGAGCATTTCGGGGCAAATTTTCTCTGAGATGTTAGCCGGTTATACCCCGAAAACTCCATACAAACCCTTCTAAATTTTTTTGGGTCGACCCAAAAAAATTTAGAAGGGTTTGTATGGAGTTCTGTAAGCATAACTGGGCTACGATCTCAGAGACAATTTGCCCCGAAATGCGCATTTTTGGCAAGTAGGCCTCTTGGACATTGTTCTTTCAGACTATCCTGACAGATACCATATTTTATTTTATTTTATTTTCTATGGGAAATTTTATTAATGTTAAGGAAAAAACTTCATGCATCTCGAGGTAAATTGCCGGTCATCTGTGCCATAACTTTTAATCAAGAGAGGTATATTCAATTAGAAATTTATAGCACACAGGGGCCGTTTAACATTCACGAATTTTATTTTTTCCACAGGATGTCAATGGTCCGTCATCCAAAGCGTGCGGTAAACATTCTAAGGTGTTATCGCTCATCAGCTATATCGGATGCGCATTGTCTATTTTGGGTCTGACGCTGACTATTTTTACCTTTGGATTTTTCAAGTAAGGCATTCTTGTGAACGTGAAAACTGCATAACTTGATGGCTTCAAAACCGTTGTATATGAAATCCATAATACCTACTTCCCCGTTGACCTCTGACAAATGAAAGCGGATTACTACTCTTTTTCGATAATAATAGTCACAGCTGGACTGACAGAAGCTTTTGTATTATTTTAAGGTAACAATCCAAAACAAATACTGCTAAAGAGGTTTGTTTTGAATGGTCAGATCTGATCATGAGATACAAAAGTGTTAAAAAGTGCCTCAATATACAGGAGGTTTTATTTTAATGGCCATACCTTAGGAATTTTAATATTAATAGTGCCATTTGAAAAGACTGCTGAAAAGGTTTCATTTGAATGGTTTTTTCATCCACATTACCTGCTTCCGTAATTGACTCTGAAAGTGAAATAGAAATGTTGAGATTCTTACTCGTAAAATTTCAAAAGTTCGCTAATGTTAATTGTTGTTGCCCTATCACAGGAAGCTTCGAAAAGATCAGATCGCCGCGAAGATATTGCTTCATCTGTGTGCGTCGCTTCTATGTGTGCTGATTGTTTTTGTGTCAGGGGTGGAGAGGGGCAGTGTATCTGAAGACGCCTGTCGCATTGTAGCAGCTCTCGTTCATTACTTCCTACTTGTAGCGTTTCTATGGATGCTGATCGAAGCGTACTTCATGTATCAGGCTTTTGTCAAAGTGTTTAGAGACTATGGTGATTACGTCATGTGGAAATGTTCCGTCCTGGGGTGGGGTAAGTAAGATCCTTTTCTTAAAGATGAGCTTTCCATTGCCTGTTTCAAGAAATACCAATATACTGCGGACAGCCCCGCAGGAGCTTTATCATTCCAGTAGTCTTTTTGGTGAAGAGCGCATGCTTATAACTTAATTCTCAAACAAATGGAAGTAATGTTTCCAGACCCAAGAACAACAACAATGTATATGTATGTTATTTGAGATCCAGAGGCTTACAATGTTTTATGCCCTGCAAATAGCTATAGCGCTAATCTAGGCGGGACAAAAATTGTAAATAAAGGCGTTATTAAATTACGTATTAAGCAAAAAAAGGAAGAGAAATACAACAACACAGAAAGAAAAACCCCTCACTCAAACTCAAGCACATGGGTTTGTTATTAGAAAAAAAAAGACTAAAACTACAATGTAGGTATATACAACGTATAGAAACTAATGTCGCTGCTGCGTTCCTAGTTTGCATTTGTGCTGAGTGAGCAAATTGTCGGGAAGCTGAATCATAACGCCACCACCCATATTGGCGGTGATTTGGCAACAGTCGCTAAGCCTCTTGCCTTTTGCTCCTTTTTTTTTCCCCTAGGGCTTCCGTTTATCGTTGTAGTGGTCACTATTGCTGTGGATAAAACTAGTTATGGTGGAAAACATTAGTGAGTATGATATGTTGTTTAGATAATTAACTTTGTCATCTCTTTTTGAGTTTTATCGCTGCTGAGTCGCTTTACTTGGCTATCTTATTCGCTTTTGCCAAAAAGTACCCAATATGGCCATTCCCAAATGATCTCTTTATAAACGTTATCGGAAAGAAACGGCAAGGCGTAGTAATTCACTTTCGAGGTGAATCAATGACATGCAATGAAACTGGTGTAACCGGTCTTGGCGAAGCTTACTGTTAAGTTAGAACGATGTCTACGGAATGCCAAAGCAGAAATTATGTAATTCCATTTTACCCATTTTATCGATCGACAAAAGTTAGATTGGTGCCAATTGTTCACAAATTTCGTTTGTTCTGTTTTGCAGCTGTCGCCTTGGAGACACGGCATTTTACGCGGCTTTTGTTGCTCCAGTGGTGTTCGTTATGTTTGTCAACACGATTACTTTCTCTTTAATCATGTACAAACTCGCTATGCGTCCACCAAACACTGCTGACTCTGACCGTAGTAGCGAAGGTCTTCTGAAGATCAAACGAGCCTTTGGAATTCTTATTTTGGTCGGTATCACGTGGATGTTTGGTTTCTTTGCAGTAGCTGACGCTCGCCTTGTGTTTCATTACCTCTTTGCTATCTGCAACAGCCTTCAGGGTTTTTCAATCTTCGTGTTCTATTGCGTCATTCAAAGGAAAGTACGCGAGTGTTGGTGGGCTTTGCTGACATGTAATCTGCACAGTCTTAAGAAGTCCAAGTCCCTTTACACAGATTCTTATGACCGACGACGCTTGTCATCTGCCAGCAGAGCTCAACTGGACGCTATGCGCGCAAGAAGTAACACAGGGCTCTCTCAGGTCAGCTAAGTCGCTTGCTAAAAATAAGTACCTACGTGGTAAAATGACCAAAAGAACTGCTGAAACAACTGTGCTTAGTTCAACGTTTTGTCTTTCATGACATTCTAGACTATTTCAAAGTAGTCTTGCGAGTTTAAGTACTACCACGAGTGTTTGATTATGAAGAAACCTCAACCTCTTTCATCCCTCTGCCCTTTTGGTACCGTTTCACTGCTAATGGATGGTCTTTAACACTGTTGTTCTGTACTGAGAAATATATTTTGAATGTTTTTTTTTTCTGCCTGCAGGTTCTTCAAATGCCGTTACGTCCAGTGGCCTCCTCCCAACCTGATCTTGTTCTTGATTGTAATCACCATAGCAACATGGTATACGATGATGATCAAGATGACCCTACAATGCCAGTTGAAACAAGTGATTATCAGCTAATTGATTTGAATGATAGCCAAACAATAGAAGTACGCAACTCAATGGACCAACTTTCCACTGGTTGGGTATATCCCTCTGGCTCCAGATCACCAAGTCTGAGGTCTCACGGAATCGCTGTGTGCCAATCACTGAATCCCAGCATGCGTGGTTCTCACATTGCGGTAAATTCTGCTCAGTCCACACCTAAGTTGCGATTACCACGAGTCTGTGCTTTTCATCAGGCTAATGCTTTTAACGGGTCTCGTGGTAGTATGCCTGTGAAATGTAGTCCTACAAAAGAAACTCTGAAGAGAACAGCGTCACATACTCCCAAGGTGACAAACCCAGCTAAACGTACGTCGTTAAGAAGAACTAAATCTGCTAGCGATTCATTCGGGGATGATACAAGATTCAGCGTTGCGTTTAGTTCATGTAGCGACCGTACTTCAAGCGAGTCATTGAGCTCGGAGGGTGGTACTCCAACGAGAAAACAGTGCCTTGGTGTCCCTATAGCGAACCTGGGTAAGTTTAATGTTTTGTACTCACAACTGCCAAATACTTTGAGCACTATATCTCTAACTGGAATTATTTGACTTTGAATATTAATTACAAAAAATTAAAGCAAAATGTTTTGGCCTTGTTTTCAGCGTCTTGGGGTACAGTTTTAGAAAGCGTCAGTTTTGAAATTCGCAATATATAAATGTAGCCAAGCCTAAAGGCGGAGCTCCAGTTTCAGTAGGGAGCTTATGCCGCAACGACGGCGACGGCAACGAAAACGTCTATATAAAAAAGTGAGGTTGCGCTGCTTTAAACTTAATCGCGCTTATTCCATGTCGTTCAATTCGTCAAATGTTGGCAATTTTTTCAGTAGTTGAGTTACAAAAGACTGTATCTAAGTTCAGGAAAAGTTCAGAAAGTCTTTGTATTGAGTTCACGTCCTCCACAAAACGTGAAATTAGGCATTTTCACGTCGTAGTCGTGCAGTGACGACAAATCAATGTACAAAAAAGCGTGATGCACGTGCAGAGTTGTTGTTTTGCGAATTTAAACCTATTGCTTTTTGCCGTTTTCGTTGACGTCGTCGTCGTCGTCGTTGCTTAAGCTCCTTAATACTGACTGTTTACTTGAAACAAGAAAGTAATTCCTCGGCCAGCACTTCCCCACATTAACTGACGGATATAATCAATAATAATTATAATCAATTTTATATGTAAGCAAACAAAAATTTTCAAAAGGCAGCTCGTGTACCTCCTCTTGCAAATTCGAAGGCATTTTGCTCAAAGTGGCTGTCATGCCGTTTGCCGTCTTTTTTAAAAGCTAAAACGTGTCTTTGATTCGTATCAGTTGAATTCCAACATTAACGTTCCAGTGCTTTAAGTAGGCAGCGAAACTGTTTCTTGTGGTCTATTGCTATGGATGGCGAGAATATGCATGGATTCTAACTCACAAAAATTGGGACAACTTTTTCAAGTTTTAGTTCTATGCGTGAAAAAAGGATCAAAAATTGTTATGGCTAGTTATTCCTGGTGAAAGTTGCTTGATATCTTCTTCATAGCTTCACTGGCGCGTTTTGTGTTTGGCTTAAGCCACCAAGTAATGACTTATGCACAAAACTGACCTAATCGGGCCTCGGGACAAAGCTCCTTCAATCTTTAATCCCTTTATCTACCCTGCATTCCGTAATTCGTTATGACAGGAACATAAATGATTCTGCAGTTCGATAATCGCCAAGGAGAAGAAAGCCATTTCGAAATTGAGAGAACCGTATTTGATGCCGGGCTCTTGTTTCTTTTTTAGGTGCACAAATCGTGGGTCCAATCAGAGGTTCGATCAGAGGATTTGTGGGATATGTGGAAACGACTGTTGAAAACTTTGACTGGTTAATTGATCTGGGGAAGCTGAGGTCAGCTTCCTCTCCCACCGAGTCTATCCAAAGAGTTTGAAATCGAGACAATACTTAAAAATTGTCTTCTTACTAGCAACGTAATGGATGAAGAAGCCCTTGCGAAATCTTGGGAGATAAACATGTCTTCACTGACTTCCTCCCTTCTCCTTCGAGGTATCTCAAAGATTCAACACAGCAGTCTCAGATAATGCAGGAAGGCAGAAAAATAAGTTGCTGTTTACGATCGTTCGTATTATGCAATACGGACAGCGTTGAGTTAAACGATTTATAAAATACCGCCAGGAGCCCATTTTCCATGTCACAAGGGGAATGGAAAGAAAATAGAACCTTTGTGGGCTAAGTTGTGGGCAAATTGTTTCAAGGCGGAAGACTTTAGAACATTGACGGTATTCATCATGTTGATGTAATGAACAGTGTTTTTGCTCAATATGCGTTGTGGGTTGATATTTCTGGGTAATATTAAATGATGAAATTCTTATGCGCGCAAGAGACGAGGGCGCTGCTTGTAAATATATGACAATAATGTAAGCTACAACCAACGCTCCGGCTCCGTGTCTATGCTGGACAGACTTGCTTTTTTTTTTTAAGGAATAATAAATATGTGAATAACGTGTTGTTGTTGTTGTCATTTCATCTTGTATCAGATACACCAAACCTACTATTTTCCCTAAAATTTTCTGCTTTGATTTATGTAAAGATGAAGCCATGAAACCTTTTCAAAACTTGGAGTGTAATCATTATTATTGAAAACTGAATCATTGGATAATGCAATTCTAGAGCTCTGATTGGCTTAGCCATCATGGTATATGAGCCATTATACCATGGTCTTCAAATATTTTAACCCTACGCGTCTGCTCAAAATTAAAAACAGGCTGTCGGTTGTTTTACAAATATATAGTCGGGAAGAATTCTCGATATTTTGTCGGCGTATTTAATAAAACAATTATTCCACTCGCGCTTGTTGGATATGAGATGATTATAGCCAACTGCACTCGTGGAATAATTGTTAACTATACGATGTAAGGAGGTACAGTCAAACCTGAATCAAGCGAACCTGTAGATGTAATCGGCTACCCCGTATTACGCCTTTACTTGCCAAACGGAAGATAAACGTTTCCGTCGATTCTTAACCTGATTATTATTATTATTATAACCTATTGTCAGTAGCTGTGAAGAGTCTTCTAATCCCAACCTTTTCCCCGTCAGCTAAGTGAACCAATACATTAAGCATCGGGTTTACGGCAAACGGCAAATGTGCAATTCAAGTTGCAAAGAGAAATTTTCAAAATGAGGAATGAGCAGTTAAAAACTGCTTGAAACAATTCTTATGGATAGAACTGGCGTAAATCAACCTATATCCGTGTGGTTATAATGAACAGTAACTTGAAACGACAATTAAAGGTTAAACTTGGTCACGTGGTACAAATTCACGTTTGCCGTAAACGCGTTGCTTAATCTCTATAATATGGTTTTCGCGCGGCGCAGAAGCTATCAGGTATAGAGTGAACATAGCCTAAGGAGCGTTTTAGAGAATAGTGGGAATTGCGGAAAGTACGCGTTTCCTTTCTATCTCTCACCCTTCTTTCTTTCTTCATCCTCGTGCCAATTTTCTTAACAAATTCCAGCGGAAATGCTTCCTATGCAGGCTAGAATCAGGAGCCTAGCTAAGAGACGCCTGCTAGAAATTATTTATTTGGAAAACAAGTGGTTTTGAATCTGCAGATTTGAAATTGGCGCTCATTCCTCCGAAGAACAAGCCCACTGTGCTATTAATACGCCATTCGAGAGGGTCGTCTTCCTATGTAACTCCATATTTCTCATTCCGGTGGGTAGCCAATCACGGTGGAAGGTATGCTTTATCAAGTCCGCGCTCTTGCCCCACCAGCCTGTCTATTGCCGTCCCCCTCCCTGTTGAGTTTTCCTGCGCGGAGCAAGAGGCGGCTAGTGTCCTGCACAGGTTAGCACTCCTCCAACCATACAACAAAAGGAACGCTATCATAAGCTCTATTTTACCAGCATGATGCCTTGCGCTTATGTTAAGTGGCCGTCTTATTATGGAATAGACACATTGAGCATCACTTATCAGCAACAAAAAGATAAATTAATTCTCGAAATGAAAATACTTACCTTACAAGTTCTTGGTCCGACGTTCTGTGGCTTTTTTTTGTTTTGTTTGTTTTTATATGAAGTTGTAGTCAATTAACGGTTCAGTCGAAGAAGTTGCGAGGAACATTGATCGATCACTCTCCAAATGAAGGAAGAAGTCTTTCTTCGTCATATTTTCCTAATCCTGATTTGTTCCGCTGAGTTGAACTCAAGTGGCCCTGTTTCTTTGTTTCGTACATAACTCTCATTTCGATGACTATTTCTGAAGCTCTCGTAGGTTGGTCGGCCGACTTTGACTGCCATTGTCTGACAATCTTTGAGTGGACCAAAGAAGGAAATCTCAAATCTAGCAGTGTAAGACACTTTTATGGATGAGAAGAGTATGGAGGAAAACTTGTTGAGGTTGATGCCTTAATTAAAAGATAAGTACGATAATGGGGGAGGTCTTTAACGGAACGGTGTCACAGGTTTCATCAGGATAAAGGCCTTGGGCAAGATGATGAAAATAGTTCCAAAACTAGTTATTATAAGACCTTGACGTGTCTCTGAAGCGGCGCCAATGTAAACGTCTGTGTCAGTATGGTGTTTACGCTGTTATTTTCTGTTTACGCTGTTATTCACGGCACATTCTTTCCTTCGGACGTCACTGAGGGCTAGTCAAGATTGTTCGACATTCCTTTTATATCAGTTCAGAAGAGCACTTATCATACTGTCTATAATTTAAAAAAGAGAATGGAGAATTTTTCTCCTACTTTCATATTCCGGTGTCCTATGTGTTCAAAATATTAAGTGTGAAGATGCTTCCAGTAAGATCATAATTGGGTGTGAAGGGGCTTCTCAAAGTCATCCGGTCGATATCGAAGACAGCTTTAGATAGCTCAAAGGAGTCTGAAAAAAATAGCCATGGAAAAAGAGCTGACTAAGATTTATTATTTACATTGTCATGCAATATATGTGAATATAGTAGAATTCAAAACAGTTATTTTCGGTTAGATAGGGTGGATTTGATCGGACAAGTAGGCTAAAGCTGATTTATGATTTCCAAAGTCATGCAAACTATGTCCTTGTAAGATAACTCTGCGGGACAATGAGCCTATGAAGATGGGGCAAGTGGGGACTAAAAAATGATTTATGATTTCTTATGTCAAGCGGCCAATCCCAAGATGACGTCTGGTGTTTCGGTAACAATGCGGTTTGATCCACGCAAATATAGCTTAGAAGCATAGGGTTTCAGTCAAAATAAAATGAGATAAGCTGATTGAAATGTAGTAGCTTTATCTCTCTCTGGTGAGATGCATTAGTTCTCGGATTGGGACATCAGTTACCACCATTGGATCAATTCGATCTCTGTGATGGGGAATAACTCACTGGTGATTCTGGGAATTATTTTTTGTTCATGGTTAAGAGGAAGTACAACTTCTGCAGGTAAGATTTGTTATTGCTTGCTGTTATTATAGGTCTGCTTTCCTTGTACCAACGTCTTTGAGTTTGTTTCTAAGCCTTCCCCGGCGTCTCATCATTTTGGCTGCATAAAATGACTAAACACACAGGATAGGCGGTGTATTCATATGCGCATCTTAACTTGTATCAATACAAATTAAGGTCTAGATTCATTGTCCGCGGTTACTTCATTGCAACAGCATTGATTCCACCGCCTCACGGCAGACTAAATACGCTATCTTAATCTCTTTGTTGGCTTACTAAAGTTGCCGACCAATATGAATGTATTCAAGAGCCATAATGGGACATTATGGCTCTTGATGTATTACAATATCAATTTTGGGCAAGACTATAAAAGATTTGCATTCCCTGATCGCGTGTTTATACATACACTTGTTTTTAAACAGTTGACATATCTATGGGCGTCAAATACTGTTCTTTGACGACAAATGGTCACAAATACTCAGCTTTTGTATTCCAAATAATCCCCTTCCTGAGGCTTGTCTAATCACTGTATGATCCATCCTCTCATTTTCTTGGGCAGAACACTAAGTTATTAATCTTGTACAGTCTGTATCAATGGAAATTGACGTTGCAATAATAGAAAAAATATTTAGTCTGGTAGTATCGAAGAGGTCATCAAAAACGTTCCCCACATTCAAGTCTTAGTCACGTCCAAAACTTCTGTCGCAGGTTATTTCGTATTAGTTTGTCATTACTGTCAAGACTTACGATGCCCGTTTCGTCCGATTTATTTTTTAAGTTAAAGTCAGTATTTATGCACGAAATCTTTAGCAGTTGTAAAGCACTCTATCTCAAAACCGCTAATCTTAACTAGTCGCTGTTTACAGACAGGTACGGAAATTTGGCCGTCGATACAATTATCAACAAATTTATCATTACAGCTTAAGCGGCTTTGAAACAAAGCGAATGGTAATTTAGAACAACACTAACTGGCGTACTGTACTCATGATTTTCACGTTTTAAACTTCGTCACTTGTCATTCAAAAAGTATACGCCATATTACCACCGCAAAGTAAATGAAAAGAGCTCTTTATTTGCCTACCTACTGTAAGGGTATTACACAGATCATCTTAGAATCCATAAACGGCTTACATCATAGTGTTAATCTCTTAAAGCACAAGCTTGTGGAGTAGTAAACCATAAATCGTTGGAAATAAGATTCGACATTTTAGCAGTGTTAGCGATTCTTTATGTGTTATTACAAGTGGATCAAAATTACTTTGGGAAGTCTGCAAAGGTGCGACACTTAAACACGATAAGTAAGGGTACAAAATATACTATAAGGGGGAGTCAACCCAAGCCGCGAGAGTTGCGAGCGCACCCAATAAAAAACCCAATTCATATATTAAGTCAGGAGCCACCAAAATAACGTTTGTACTGTACGTGACAAAACTATCATCTTTACAAAAATGGATCAGTACACGGAAAGTGAATACTGTCGATATGAAATATAATGATTTTATTTAGTGTTCTTAAAATCGAGCGCACGCTTCTAAGACGTTATATTTAATTGTTTCCCTCTCGATTCAGGTAATTGTTTATATTACGGATTTTATAAAAACATCCTTTCACGTTTTTCCCTTTCTATGTAATGGCAATGGATCGTGAATTTGACATTGGTGGGTCGCTTGATTTCCACTGCTATCTAATGCGGATACCTTTAAATGCTGGCCTCAGTAATTTGCTGATTCTTGCTGGCCCTCTTTGGTGGTTCATAAAACTTTAAAAATTAAAATGCATTTATAGAGCGTCATACTCAACTTATTGTCCATGGCACTTTTAGCTTCAAAGCACATTAGAGAGTGTCAGAGCAGGCGTATTTTTTGGAAAAGAAAAACAAAGATGAAAAATATTTCAATTTACCCATAAACAATCATTCTCTGTAAAACGCTAAAATTTTCAAATACACTCGTACGAAGATGACAATTAATAATATAAACAAAGAATCTTTGACTTACTTCACGCTTCCATATTGTATCATCTCATTGTAAAAACGTGGAAGTG